AAGAGTGAGTCCCTGAAATGGCTCCTCTGATCTAGCAGACTGTCTTTAAGTGGTCACGATCTAAGCAATCCTTGTGGTGGTGGAAAGTTTCGGCAAGTCACAACTGACTCATGGCGACACTGTAGGTTTTCAAGACAGACAAACAGAGGCGGTTCGCCATGGCCTGCCTCTGCATAGCAACCCTAGACTTCGTTGGTGGTCTCCCATCCATGTACTAACCAGGGCCGACCCTAGTTAGCTTCCGAGGTATTGATTAGGTCAGGCCAGCTTGGGCCATTCCAGTCAGGGCAAGAGGCAAACAGAGGTGGCTTGCCCTTGCCTGCCTCTGCACAGCAACTCTAGACTTCCTTGGTGGTCTCCCATCCATGTACCAACCAGGGCCGACCCTGCTTAGCTTCCGAGATATTGATTAGGTCAGGCCAGCTTGGGCCATTCCAGTCAGGGCAAGAGGCAAACAGAGGTGGCTTGCCCTTGCCTGCCTCTGCACAGCAACCCTAGACTTCCTTGGTGGTCTCCCATCCATGTACCAACCAGGGCCGACCCTGCTTAGCTTCCGAGATATTGATTAGGTCAGGCCAGCTTGGGCCATTCAAGTCAGGGCAAGAGGCAAACAGAGGTGGGTTTGCCCTTGCCTGCCTCTGCACAGCAACCCTAGACTTCCTTGGTGGTCTCTCATCCATGTACCAACCAGGGCCGACCCTACCTAGCTTCTGAGATATTGATTAGGTCAGGCCAGCTTGGGCCATTCCAGTCAGGGCAAGAGGCAAACAGAGGTGGGTTTGCCCTTGCCTGCCTCTGCACAGCAACCCTAGACTTCCTTGGTGGTCTTCCATCCAAGGACTAACCAGGTCAGGGTCCTTGTGAGGTGGATCATTATCATTCTTCCACGGAGAAGGCAAAGGGGGATTTGAGGCTACGTGGGCTCGCATAAGAGAGCGCGTATCAGAGGTTCTAACGCTGACATCTTCTGAGCCGTAACACACCACTGATCACAGAAGTTTGTAACTTGCGTAAGGCCACAGGCATTCCATTGCCCCAGCTGCGCGAGAGCTTTTGTTCTCCGGAGCTCAGAGCTGCATGCAAAACTTGTGGTTCTGAAGCAAGAATCCCTTTGAGGGTTTGCTAACTGTGAATGAAAAGAGGCAAGCGGGCCTGAAAATGGCAGACTTTAGTTGCACTCCGTGACAAATCTCTGGGCTTGAATATTAAGCGTTCTTCGCATCAGACCCCTTTTGTACCCTGAATTCTGAAACTTCCTTCTTGTTAGAATCCTGCTTTCCTCCTGATCTCTGATGTTTCATGCTAAAACAGACTTCCTTCGACCAGAGTACCTTCTGTGGTGCTTTAAAGTGTTTGCTGTATTTATTCATCTACAATCCTGCTTTTATTCTGATCAAGGAAACTCAAAGCAGCATACATCAAAGTAAAAAAAAAAAACCTTACAAAGAAATGCAAGTAAAATGAAGTAACTGCAACCTGCTGGAACTCAAGGGCTTCCAGTGAAGCTGATGGGCAGTGGATTCAGGACAGACAAAATGAAATAGTCTTTTACACAGAGAGTGATTAAAAAGTGAAATTTGCTGTCAGAAAGTCCTTTACACAGAGAGTGATTTAAAAAATTGAATTCGCCGCCAGGGGATGTAGTGATGGCCACAGGCGTAGACAACTTTAAAAGGCTATTAGATAGAGTCAAGGAAGAGAAGTCTATCAGTGACTACTAGCCATGGTGACTGAGGGGAACCTCCACGTTCAGAAGCACTAATCCTCTGAATCCTAGAGCCAGGAAGCAACATCAGGGGAAGGCCTCGGCCTCTCTGTCCTGTTGTTGGCCCACCAGAGGAACTATTGTGTGAGACAGAATCTGGACTAGATGGACCACCACTGGTCTGATCCATCAGGGCTCTTCTTATGTGCTTATCAGGGGAAGCCCTCAGCCTTTCTGTCGCATTGTTGGCCCACCAGAGGAACTATTGTGTGAGACAGAATCTGGACTAGATGGACCACCACTGGTCTGATCCAGCAGGGCTCTTCTGAGGTTCTCATGAAGGCCTTGGCCTCTCTGCCCTGTTGCTGGTCCTCCAGAGGAACTGGCTGACCCCTGTGTGAGACAGGAGGCTGAACTAGATGGACCACCACTGATGTGATCCAGCTAGGGATCTTCTGATGTTCTTATCAGGGGAATGCCTTGGCCTCTCTGTCCTGTTGTTGGCCCACCAGAGGAACTATTGTGTGAGACTGTTGCTGGCCCTCCAGAGGAACTGTTTGGCCACCATATGAGACAGGAGGCTGGACTAGATGGACCAACGGTCTGATCCAGCAGGGGCTCTTCTGATGGTCTTATCAGGGGAAGGCCTCGGACTCTCTGCCCTGTTGTTGGCCATTCAGAGGAACTGGTTGGCCATTGTGTGAGACAGGAGGCTGGACTAGATGGACCACCACTGGTGTGATCCAGCTAGGGATCTTCTGATGATCTTATCAGGGGAATGCCTCGGCCTCTCTGTCCTGTTGTTGGCCCACCAGAGGAACTATTGTGTGAGACAGGATGCTGGACTAGATGGACCACCACTGGTCTGATCCAGCAGGGCTCTTCTGATGTTCTTATGAGGGGAAGGCCTCAGCCTCTCTGCCCTGTTGCTAGCCCTCCAGAGGAACTGCTTGGCCACTATATGAGACAGGAGGCTGGGCTAGATGGACCAACAGTCTGATCCAGCAGGGGCTCTTCTTAGGCTGCTATGGTCATTAGCTGCCAAAAGCACATCATATGAACAGATATTATTACATGCCTCCCAGTTATTTTACTTTGTAATTGTATTACAGCAAACTTACCACACTGTTATTGCAATGAGCCGCATTAATATCCTAATGTAGGATGCCTTCCTTTGATCAGCTAAGAGTAGGAAGCAATGTCCCACACAAGAGCAGTCCAAGTCTCTTTGAGCCTGTGGACAATTTTTGGACTGTTCTGAATGGGACTGAGCCATGGAGGACGATGTGTCCAAAAGGGGGGCCAGAACCTCAATGCGTAGGGCGGCACTGGGGGGGGGCGTCCTTTGCAAGTTCCGCGAAGCTCGTACGGTCGGTGTCAAGCCTCCCGGCCAGTGTCCAGAAAGGTCTCCATCCGCTGCTTGCTGATAATTGGGCAGATAGCATGGAAGGTTGTCCGATCCCGTACTTCGGGAGGCTATAAAGGAGCGCAGCGCACTGTGAGGAGCAGGCAAGTGGAACTGAGCTGTGGCTGGCGCTTGCATTCCCGCCCTGCCTATGCGCCCAGCCATGCACAAACTCCTCCTGGTGCTGGCCCTCGGGGTGTTGTGGTCCGAGATGAGGCCGGGGAGCGACGCCCGGACACCTCCCTACGGCGTGAAGCTGTGCGGCCGGGAGTTCATCCGTGCCGTCATTTTCACCTGCGGAGGATCCCGGTGGCGGCGGGCAGGTGAGCGGCGGGCAGCGTGACGGGAGGAAGGGCGGGGCGTGGGCTGGTTATGAAGGCAGGGGCAGGGTGGTGTAGTGGTTAGCGTGTCAGACTAGGATCGGGGATGGGGCCGGCTGGAAACTTGGATGCCTTGTTTCCTTTTCTTTTTGCCTCGGCCAAAAAGTTGCATGGGAAACGCAGAGTTTTGTAGCCAGTGGGGTGTCGTGGTTAAGAGGGTTGGACTAGCATCTGGGAGATCCTGGGTTCCGGTCCCTCTCGTGCCACGGAAGCTCGCTAGGTGACCTTGGGCCAGTCGCATGCCCTCGGCCTCTCCTACCTCGCAGGGTTGTTGTGAGGATAAATTGCAGGACCGTAGAATGACGTCAGCCACCTTGCGTCCCCATTGGGGAGAGAGGCGTGGTAGGAATGAAGTAAATACATAAGAGGCAAGATTCCAGGACTGCTTCCACCCAAATCTTTTGGTCTACGTGGACGTTCAGGCTGGAGCAGGGCTTCTTTGAGCAGCCGCGCAACACCGCTGCCTGGCTGTTAATTCCTCTCAGCATTCCGAAGTTAAGAAGGGCACATCCGGCTGTCAAATTTCCACTTTTGACATATTTATTTCCTTCACTATGTCCCCCCCCCGAATTAAACCCAAACAAATGGTAACCGTATAAACTAAGCTCGTTCTTCCTGCACAACAAATTTAGAGTCCAATGGCAACGTTAAGACCAACAAAGGTTTATTCAAGGTATGAGCTTACATGTTCTTCCTGTTTGGAGGAGGAGGAGAAGATTTGATTTATCCCCTGCCCTTCACTACCCAAAGCTGTCTCAGAGCGGCTCACAAACTCCTTTCCCTTCCCCTCCCCACAACACACACCCTGGGAGGTAGGCGGGGCTGAGAGAGCTCTGACAGAAACTGCTCTTATTAAGAACAGCTCTTATCAGAAGTACGGCTTCCCCAAGGCCATCCAGCTAGGTGCAAGTGGAGGAGTGGGGAATCAAACCCGGTTCTCCCAGATTAGAGTCCGTGCACTTAACCACGACCAGGGGTCATTTCCTGCAGGAGCACACAGGAGCGGAGCTCCGGCAGTAAGGAGCCCAGGCGGCGGGCACATGCAACAAGCCCCGCCCCCTGCTCCCAGCAGCCCTCAATCAGAGCAAGAAGCAGCCAAGTAAGTTGCAGAGCTCCCCCCAGCCCCCCGATCCAAACCAGTCCAGTGGTACCTTTAAGACCAAGTTTTATTCAGGTACAAGCTCTCCCTCCTCTGCGAGGACAGATCTGCACGTTCCCCCCGGGCCAATAGCTAGCAATCCAAAACAGTCCAGTGGGTGTTGCCTTCTGACACACTCCCGGTGATGTCAGGGGGTGTGGCATATGCAAAACGTTATGCTAACGAGCTCCTACACCTCTTTTTCTATGACATGACCCCCGACCATGACACCAAATTGGCTCTTCTTCAGACACATTGAAATGGGAGTTCCCAGTCCGTACATACAGGTAAGTAGGTATATGTATGGACTGGTAGCTTCCGTTTCAATGTATCTGAAGAAGTGTGCTTGCACTCGAAAGCTCATACTTGAATAAAACCTTGTTGGTCTTAAAAGTGTCTCTGGACTCGAACTGTGTTTAGCTCTCCACTGTTTAGGTGACCTCTTCCTTTGCTCCGACCTTTCTCAAGGGAAAGACCGCCGTCAAACTGTGTTTGCAGGCCAGCCGGATGTGAAGGCGGACATTTTCCCAGAGGCAGCCCGCATCAGCAAAATGGGCCTTGCCGCAGTCCCCTGTAGCAGCCATCGCCCCCCCTTGACTCCCCCGAGGGATTTTTTTTTTAATGGGCAATTGACATTTTCGCTGTCGCTTTAGGCTATTGGGGGATATTTCATTTAGCCACTACAAAGTGGTGTAATATGTCTGGTGGTAGGTAGCAGCTGTTAAGTGGCAGCTGACTTATGGAGACCCCTCATTCGGTTTTCAAGGCAAGCGGTTAGCAGAGGTGGTTTTGCCACCGCCTGCCTCTGCGTAGCAACCCTGGACTTCTTTCGTGGTCTCCCCTCCAAGTATTAAGCAGGGCTGACCCCGCTTAGCTTCTGAGATTTGGTGAGATCGAGCTCTTGGCCACCCAGTCAAAGGAAGAGACAAACAGAGGCGGTTTGCCCTTGCCTGCCTCTGCGTAGCAACCCTGGACTTCTTCAGTGGTCTCCCATCTGAGTACTAACCAGGGCTGCCCCTGCTGAGCTTCCGAGATCTGACGAGATCAGGCCAGCCTCGACCAGGCAGGTCAGGGCAGAGACCAAGGTGGTTTGCCATTGCCTGCCTCTGCGTAGCGACCCTGGGCTTCCTTGGTGGTCTCCCCTCCAAGTATTAACCAGGGCCCACCCTGCTTAGCATCCGAGGTCTGACCACATCAGGGCAGCCTGGGCTATCTAGGTCAAGCCTAGAAAGGAACAGAGGCGGTTTGCCATTGATTGCCTCTGCGTAGCGACCCTGGGCTTCCTTGGTGGTCTCCCCTCCAAGGATCAACCAGGGCCGACCCTGCTGACCTGCTGAGATCTGATGAGATTGGGCTAGTCTGGGCCATCTAGAGCAGGGCAAGAGACAAACGGGTGGTTTGTCACTGCCTGCCTCTGCGTAGCAACCTTGGGCTTCCTCGGTGGTCTGCCATCCAATGACTAATCAAGACCCTCCCTGCTGAGCTTCCGAGAACCAATGAGTTCAGGCCAGCCTAGGCCAGCCAGGTCAGGGCTGATACAAAGGTGGTTTGCCATTGCCTGCCTCTGCGTAGCGACCCTGGGCTTCCTTGGTGGTCCACTCCTAGTATTAATCAGGGCCAGCCCTGCTGAGCTTCCGACATCCAATGAGATCAGGCCGGCCTAGGCCAGCCTGGTCAAGGCAGAGATAAATGGATAGGGAATTCCAGGCTCCACCAGCCGCTCCAGTCTGCCAAGTCGCAAACGTGGCTCCCGCGACCTCTCCCTGTCGGTGTCTCGTTGCAGGAGAACTCGGCGGCCTCCGCGGGAGCGACTCTACGGAAGCCTTCGTCGCGACCTCTTCCTCCAACGAGTGGGACTCCATCCGCGCCCCCCCCAAGGACCCGTCCGATTATTTCGGGAGCTGGAGGAGCCACGGTCCCGTGGAAGAAACCTGGGCCTTGGATCGTGGCGCCCGCGACGTCATGACCGGGCTCAGCAACGCCTGCTGCAAATGGGGTTGCAGCAAGAGCGAGATCAGCTCCCTGTGCTAGGCGGCAGCGGGCGCTTCCCTGCGTGTGTCTGTGTGTATGACAAAAAAGGAGGCGTTTAGGAAATCTCCATGAGCTTAGACCAGGGGTCCCCAACACGGTTCCCATGAGTGCCACGGCACCCGCCGACACCTCCCCTGTTTTTAAAAAGTGGGTGGGCCCAGGTCAGGCACTTGATTGGCCGGGCAGATTAAAAGAACATGGTTTCTTCTTCCCCAGTGTATTTTTTCAAGTCTCTCCTCTGCCCCTGAGCTCAAGGAAGCCACAGCCTTCAGTTTGCAAGACTTCTCTCTGTGTGTGTAGCCCCGCCTCCTCCGGCAGCCATTTTGTGGCTGGCCCCTCCTCCCGCGGCAGCCATTTTGTGCCTGGCCCCGCCTCCTTCGGCAGCCATTTTGTGGCAGTGTCGGAATTCCCAGAATTCCCAGGCTCAAAAAGGGTGGGGACCCTTCTCTTAGACCGTCATACACTGCAATGTACGTATCATGGACCCTGAACCTACCTGTGGGACACCCATTCTAGCCACAGAGGCAGCAAGAGGTTCCCAAGAATCCCAGCAACCAGTTTGGTATAGTGGTTAGGTGCGCGGACTCTAATCTGGGAGAGTCGGGTTTGATCCCCCACTCCTCCTCATGCAGCTGCTGGTGTGACCTTGGGTCAGTCACAAGTTCCTTCAGAGCTGTTCTCTCAAGGACAGCTCTCAAGAGAGCTCAGCCCCACCTACCTCACAGGGTGTCTGTTGTGGGGAGGGGAAGGGAAAGGAGTTTGTAAGCCGCTCTGAGACTCCTTCGGATAGTGAAGGGCGGGGTATAAATCCAATCTCCTCCTCCTCCTCTTTTTCTTCTTCTTCTTCTTCTTCCTCTTCTTCCTGTTGGCTGCAAGAGACACAGGAGGGGTCTTGTTCCCCCAGCCTCCTGCACCGCCAATATTTCCACTACGTAGCAGTCCTTTCCAAACCCCCAAATTGGGGGGGGGAACCTCACAGTTTTTCTCCAGAGCTGTTGCAGCCACAGAAAGGGGGTCCTAATATGGGACCAAAAACCTCTTTTTAAGGTTGCCAGCTCCGGGTTGGGAAATACCTGAAGATTTTGGGGGCGGAGGCTGAGGAGGGCAGGGTTTCAGGAGGGGCAGGACTTCAGTGGAGTATACCATTCTAGAGCCCACCCTCCGAAGCAGCCGTTTTCTCCAGGGGGAACTGATCTTTGTCACCTGGAGATCAGTTGTAATAGCGGGAGATCTCCAGGTGTCACCTGGAGGCTGGCAACCCTGCCTACGTGGCTGGTACATAGAGAGGATCCTACCAGGGAGGCGGGAGGGGCAGGGAGTCCCCGGAGAGAAAGAGGGTGTGTGTGTGTGTGTGTGTGTGTGTGTTTCTCACTGGTTATTTCGTGCATCGATTGTCTCTGGGCTTTGCACCGGCATCATCAACGATAGTCCTTCCGTTGCTGCCACGTTGTTCTTTTCTGGGAACTGGAAAAATGTCAAAAGCTGAAATAAAAAAAATATGGAAGAAACCATCAGCCGGCACGTGTTGAATCTGAGATCATTACAGGGCACTGCACTTGTGCGGAGCGGGTTTCATATCCAGGGCTATTTTGGGGCAGGAACGCACAGGAACAGAGTTCCAGCTGGCTCCTGAGTTGGCCACGCCCAGCAGGAACTCATTAGCATAATAGGCTACACCCAATAGCAGGAACTCATTAGGATTAGCTACATTAGGGGTGTGGCCTAACATGCAAAGGAGTTCCCGCTACAAAAAAAGCCCTGGGTTTTGACAACAAACAAGGTAAACAGAATACAAAAGGTGGGTGTGGCTTGATGACCACACTTCTGGTAACATGGGGGTACGGCCTAGTATGCTAATGAGCTGTATTGTCAGGGGTGTGGCCTAATATGCTAATGAGTTTCTGCTGTTGGGTGTGGTATTTTATGCTAATGAGTTCCTGCTGGGCTTTTTCTACAAAAAAGGCCTGTTCATATCAAATACTGATGGTGTTGAACGGGTTGTCTGCTCCGGACGGAGACATTCCTGAAGATCTGGGGGTGGAGCCTGGGGAGGACGTGGCCGGAGAAGGGAGGGGCTTCGGCAGGGGATAATGCCACAGAGTCCACCCTCCAAAGCATGGAATCCTAGAATCCCAGAGTTGGCAGGGGCTGTAGAGGCCATCTAGTCCAACCCTCTGCTCAATGCAGGATCAGTCTAGAGCAGGGGTGTCAAACATGTGGCCCGGGGCCCGGATCAGGCCACCGGAGGGCTTCTATCAGGCCCACAGTGGAACTGGCTGTCTTCTGAAGAAGAAGAAGAAGAAGAGAAGAGATTGGATTTATACCCCCTGCCCTTCACTACCCAAAGGAGTCTCAGAGTGGCTTACAAACTCCTTTCCCTTCCCCTCCCCACCACAGACACCCTGTAAGGTAAAAGAAGAAGAAGAGATTGGATTTATACCCTGCCCTTCACTACCCAAAGGAATCTCAGAGCGGCTCACAAACTCCTTTCCCTTCCCCTCCCCACAACAGACACCCTGCGAGGTAGGTGGGGCTGAGAGAGCTCTTTCCAGAAACTGCTCTTTTTTCAAAGACAGCTCTTATCAGAACTACGGCTTGCCCAAGGTCACCCAGCAGGTACAAGTGGAGGAGTGGGGAATCAAACCCAGTTCTCCCAGATTAGAGTCCGCGCACTTCACCACGACACCAAGCTGGCTCTCTTCTGACTCTTCTTCCAGTTCTGCTGCTGCGTCGTTGTAGGTTTGTAGCTTACAGATACACACCTGAACAGCATCCTCGAGATTGCAACAGCACAGACATTTTGACGCAACAATTCAGAGCAAGAGGTGTCAGTTATCAGACACTGTTAAAGAGGCAAAATATTGCAAGAGTGCTAGTGTTTTAAGCATGATTTAAAGTTTA